AGAAATGAACGTATGTATAGGACGTCTTGCTACGCACAAATGAATTTATCAGCAGAACACCAGACACCAGATGAGCCCTGTCGCTCTGCGGCACTTGTTTTTTATTGAGACGTTCCAAGTGCCTGTGACCTAATGCCAGTACACCTAAGTCCTAACCACAGGCACAGGCCCTTGGAGGCTCAAGTTTCAAGAAGAGTAAAACTAAAAGAGCGAAGCGGGGCTGTGGTGAAAGAGCGAAGCGGCTAGTTCATCTAGCTGACTCACAGCTAGATTGTCATTGGCACGCGCGCATTGTTGTCTCTCCAGCTGGCCGATATCAACGTGCCCATCGAGCACATCACGTGGCCTCGCGTCGTGCTGTCGTCGGACGGCTGGATCTGCGCGAGACACTGCAAGGCACCCCACAGCCAGTCATGCTCGCGATGCCGTGCCAGGAACACGCACAATGCCGCCTGGAGGGAACTAGGGTACGAAATCTCGCTTGGGTTCAACAATCTTTTTTTAAATTTTTTAATTTATAATTTTTTTTATCATCTTTCACAATGAGGAGCGATCTGTCTCACATACATCTCCCCCGTGTGTGATTCTTAAAACGTATATATATAGCTCTGCATACACATTATCTATCTATTCTACGGACACAGTAGGTCGACTGAAAGGTAAGGCCACAATTAAAAAAACATTTGTTTGCCCTCACCCGACCCAGGCGGAAAAGTTTGGGTAGGTAGGTAGGCTTTGAGGGGGGGTCTTTTTACAAATTCAGCATGGTGTCTACATGCTCGGTAGCTCTATGAAACGGTATTGCTAGGGTTAGAATACCGTTTCAAATTTTTGCTCATAAAAACGTATATCTCGGTATCCAAACATCGACACAGCTAGCGTCACATGTAATAGCTCAAACGAATCTATAAACCTCTGCAGGGGCGTGTACAGGGGGGGGGGTCCCCTGCTCGCGCTGAATGTCCATTATGTTTTATTTTAAAATAATAAAATTGTCTAAGATGTTAATGCACCAGACAATGGCATTTATGTACATATCAAGATGAAGTTATTGTGGTGTCAGATGTGAGGAAAACGCATCTGAGGGGGTCTAATTTCAAAAAATTTCTGGTGGAAGGGCCCCCCCCTTCGCCGCGAGCACCTACGGTGCTCGCAAGTTTGAGTTACGGTTAGACTCCCCCCCCCCTGGTGCAAATCCTGTACACGCCCCTGCTCTGGCTTGCTCACGGTAACTGGGCGCTACTGGGCGCTACTTATTTATCGAGTTATGCCGTATTTTCTGAGATGAATTGGATGTAAACAACCAGAGAGCCGCCATGTTTGGTGCGACTAAAATCGGCAATCGACCTGATTTCCATAGTGCGTAGGCCTAAACACAAGGCAAGTACATATCTTCGCAATGATAATTGTTAAGTTGTTGTAGATTGATGTTTCCTGGTTTTCAATGATTTAATATTTATATATATATATATACGAGTATATGATGCTTATTTCTGCTCGTGCCAACGCGAGTTGCAACGCTATGGTATGTTATGTCGTTTCGGGTTTTCCGCTTTCCGATCGATACACATGCGTAGTGGAAACATGGCAGTTGGCGCCTTGGCGGTGAAAGTAAATTTAGGTTAGGCTCTTGAAATTTACACTGCGCACAGCAAACTAAGGTATTAGTTTTAATAACGACGCTTGAATACTATAAGATGAAGGTTATACTTAATACTAAACAAGGCAGAAATGCTAAGATAATCATTTTATTTGAGATATACGTAATTGTTCGGTAGTTTTTGTAGAGGTACACGATTTTCCAATGGATGGATGTCAGGCTGTATATTGACGTTAGTCACACAGCCTGGTCGGGTTACATGCTTAGGTGTGCTTGTGTGGCGATACCTTTTATGTTGAATGTTTGTTTTGCTCGGTACAGATAATGTATTGCCTACAGATTTATATAATGTACAGTGATACAATTTGTAAAAAAAAAGAATGGGGAAAAATCAATACAATTTTTTGAGTCGGTTCCTTTTTGGCAGGTCGGTCAGGTGAGAGCAAGCAAACAATATTTTTATTATGGCCTAAGGTGAAAGGTAGATGTGTGAAGCAGAGGCGTAAACCGTCTCTTATAGACGCAACGCAGATCGACTGCATTGCCTCTGCGGAGAATCAACTGTATTATCACCCAATTCAATTCAGCTATAAAGGTAGCGAAGAGCATTTTATAGGTTAGGATGACTCGCGGAGTGTTTATTCTGTAACCGCTGTGGTCCGTAACCGTGAAGATTGTTGTGGCAAGTAACCATGCAGATCGTCGTGGCCCGTAACCGTGCAGGTTGCCGTGGCCCGGCGTAACCATGGAGATTGTCATTGATTCTTGCAGCAGCAAGTCCATGTCGCTGGATCGTAGTCGTTGCCGGAGCAGCTCACGATCACCCGCACGCCGCGTCGGCTCGATAGATGCCGCCACCAGTCCATCCATCGCCAGCGCCATCGCCGCCGCCGCCGCCGCCAGCAACGGCTACACGCGGCGCGCCCTGGTGAGCTTCCGGGAGCGGCTGCAGTGCAGTCTGACGATGCTCAACCTGTATGGCGGTGGCGCTACCGTGCGGTGGAAAGTGTGCGCGGACTCCGTCAAGAAGAATCCTGGAAAGCCGTGGGTTGCGCTGAAAGGTACGCACGCTCTTGTGTTTCTTGTCGCGTGACAATGGACGATGGATAGTGGGGGGGGGGGGGAGAGCAGATGGGAGAAATGGAATGGCAAACTTGCATAGAACTAACTATACAGAGAAATTATTAATGTAGAAGACTGAAACGAGTTTTTCGGATAGTTAGGGATTAAACAACAAAGAAGTCATTTAATTAGTAAAAGATGGACAGTCAGGGATTAGAGTGTAACACGCAAGTTAAGTAATAAAGCATAAAATAGACATTTATTGATTTAACAGTAGAAAAGAACAGTTAGTGATAATAGGTTAGCAAGGATAGTTAACGATAAAAACAAAGAGAAAGTCGCAGTCAGAGCTCGCAATGTCGAAACGGGGAACGTAAAAACTGCCGCAGCTTCACTAATTGGTAATCAAAGGGTTAACAGACAAAAACGCGATGCGCTGGGTGAACGATGCGGCCTAGACTGCCGCCGAGTCACGGTTTCTCTTTGCGCGCAGCGGGTCAGCAGCTGGAGGTGTACGACATGGAGCGCAAAGTGCTCGTCTCGAAACACAAGACAAGCTTTCCTGTGATATTCTGGACCTGGATCGGCGCGAGCGTCATCGCACTCGTGTCGGACGACGCCGTCTACCACTGGGACCTCGCGCACGGTGAGTGGCTCCCCCTGTCTCCGCCGCGTCGGTGGCGGAGGGACGCGTGGTCGGGTGATCCGATGTTTTAGCGTCGCTGTCTGTGAGGGGTGGGCGGTGAAGAGTACGGAAAAGAGACGTGCAAAGACTAGAGGGTGAGAGAGAATGTGAGAAGGAAGGAGTGATTGAATGATAGAGGGAGGGAGGCGGGAAGAGGGAGGGAAGAATAGAGAGAGGAGAGAGAGGGAGAGAGAAAGCGTGAGAGAGAGAGAGAGCGAGAGAGAGAGAGAGAGAGAGAGAGAGAGAGAGTAGAGAGAGAGAGAGAGAGAGAGCCCGAGAGCGAGAGAGAGAGAGAGAGAAGGAGACAGAGAGAGAGAGAGAGAGAGAAAGGGGGAGAGAGATACAAATTTGTGTCTTCATATCCTGCTGTTTCAGACATAGTTATATTACAGTGTGGCAGTACATATGCTAAGCAATGTCTATCACTCGCAAAATCAGTTCTTGACCCATATTTATAAATGCTAATTCTGTTCCAGTTCCGTTGCCCTACATATGATCACGCTGTAAATATATATATATACAGTAGCATGGTTTAAGGCATCATGTCAGTGGTAACTAGTATTGCATACATAAGTACCGTTCTCACCATCGCCGCATGTGTGTGCACCGGTCGCCACGGTAACGCCGCGTCTGCTCGCCCCTGCAGGCTCCGACGCATCGTCGGCGCAGCGGCGACTGTTCGCGCGTCACAGCCGACTGGACAACGCCGAGATCGTCAGCTACGTGGCGGACGACGCGCACCGGTGGTGCGCCCTGCTGGGACTCATCGAAAACGACGTAGGTTGCCGGCGACGACGACGGCTCGGGGGAGGGGGGATTCGTTCGCGTGTGGCCGTCGCGTACGGTTGGCATTCGTACTCAGTAACAATTATTTTTGTCGCGGTTGAAATATTTTATACCGCGGTTAAATTACGTGTAATAAGGCCCTCTTCTCATCAGGTAAAAGGTCCGTTAAATTAACGACGGTTGAATTATTTATGTTTAGGGCGCGGTGCAGGGCGTGGTGCAGCTATACTCCACCGACGAGAGACTCAGTCAACCGATCGATGCCCACGCCGTCTCCTTCGCAACGTACACGTTTGACGGCAATGCACATCCGTCTACGCTGCTGTGCGTCGCCCTGCGTGCCTGCGGCCGGTCGGGGAAGGTACGTACGTGTGTGTGTGGTGGGGGGCATGTGTGTGTGTGTGTGTGTGTGTGTGTGTGCGCGCGCGTGTGTGCGTGTAGTGTAAAAATAGAATTAATATTGTTTGACTACAAGCACACATGGTGTTAATATTGTGTATGTTTGACTGCAGGTAAGCATGGTGTTGATGTTGAGTGTGTTTCACTACAGGTAGATGTACAGGTACATGTACAGATACAGGTACACATGGTGTTAATGTTGTGTGTGTCAGAATACAGGTAAGCATGGTGTTAAGCAACGTTATTTATGTTTGACTACAGGTACATGTCGTGGAGCTGGGACCGCATGTGAAGGGAAACGGCGCTCTCACCACCTACTCAGAAACGATCAAGTTCACCGCCAACACGTCCAAGTATGACTTCCCCATCGCGACAGAGGTACAGAGGACGTGTCAGCCATCCTTCTCACTCCCAATCAAAATAACTGCCATCAGGCTTGGGTTAGGGTTACCACACGTAGAGAACGAACGCTTGCCTATTTCACTCTGATATTTAACGATCTACGTCGAGAAAAGTAAGTTACGTTAGCCCCACAAAAGCTGGTAGGAACGTGCAATTTCGGGTATGGCGGCACCCATGAATAAATTCATGTAAATTCAAAACGGACCAAAATATGGCAACTACATGCATTGTCAAAGGCTGTAAAAGCATGCATGCAGCAGATATACAGTATCGTTTTATCGTCTGCCATGGAAAAACACACCGCTGTGTAGACTTCAATTTGGATATTCAGAAAACTAGGTCAACGGAATGAGCATGGTCGCTCGTTACATACTTTGCTCGTTATCTACCTCGACGCTCGTTACATACTTTACTCGTTACCTACCTCATTGCTCATTACATACTTTGCTCATTATCTATCTCCTCACTCGTTGGCGTTCCATACATCGCTCGTTATCTACTTCATCGCTCATTATCTACCTCGTCGCTCATTACTTACTTTGCTCATTACTTACTTTGCTCATTACATACTTTGCTTGTTACATGCTTTGCTCGTTATCTACCTCATCGCTCGTTACATACTCTGCTCATTACATACCCCGTTCCTCGTTACATACTTTGCTCGTTATCTACCTTGTCGCTCATTATCTACCTCGTCGCTCGTTATCTACCTTATCGCTCCTTACCTATCACACAGGTGAGCAGCAGTCAGCGTCTCGTCTACATCGTCACAAAGTACGGCCACCTGTTCCTGTGTGAGCTGGAGACAGGAATGTTCCTGTGCCAAATACAGATGTCGCGTGACGTCATCTTTGCCACGCTGCTCAACAGCGAGACTCAGGGCGTGATCGGCATCAGTCGAAACGGACAGGTAGGCAGGCGCCGGTGCGTCTTAAACTATTTCAGTGTCATTCACCCTCGCGTCTTTATAACAAAATTTCATTCACTCGCGACTAAATTTCCTGGTGTTTTTTGTATAATTTCATTCACCCTTGGGTGAACCATTCACCAGTTTAAGAAGCAGTGAGGTAGGGGTTTGATTTACACGGCTCGTACACGAAATGTTCCGAGCGTAACTCGTGTAGTACGTTTTACTGAGTATCCAACTGTAAAAGACTCAGGCATACTGATAGACATACAGACTGATAGGCATCAGTCGAAACGGACAGGTAGGCGTTCGATTGACGCGGCTCGCAAGCAAAGTGTTGTTTGAGTGGCTGTTAAGCAGTAGTCAGACCACCTCTGTAGAGTGGATATCTGTCTATGAAGGACCCTTCTGGTATTTCCCTAGAGTGGCAATTAAACAGTGTGAAACCATCTCTATAGACATCACTGAGCTATGAGTCACTGAGACTTGGGAGGTGGGCGTTCGATTTACGAGGCTCACAAACAAAATGTTCCGATCGGAACTCGTGCAGTGCGTTTCACTGTGTATCCAACTGTAATGATGTCCACATGAGATCAACACAACAAAGACCATGCCCAATCAACAAATCAAAACCATCAACCAGAAACAAAGATCAAAACCATGTTGGCATGTATTGCTATGTAACTGTATTAAATTGACTACGTCACGAATTTTCTATGGTAAAATTTGTAAAATGTTTGTTGCCATTTGTTTACATTAAAAGTAAGAACTAACGGGACTAAACGTATCGTCAAATTCTTACCTGTCAATATTGTTTCTCAACTAGTTAAAAATCCAAAAAACCTGGACGATTTGATATTAGTGTTCATAACATTAATTGCTTGCTATGGGCTATGTATGCGTCACAAGTGTATGTTCACATGGAACAATATAGTAAAATAAGAAGTATAATGCAGCAATTTAACCATAAAAAGTGAACAGAATTACTTATATTTTATTTTTTAGTATTTACGGTGACGTAATCACTTTAACAATCTAAGATCGTACCCTGTTGGCAGGTGTTGCTATGTAGCCATGGTAACAATCTAAGATTGTACCCTGCTCGAAAGTGTTGCTATGTTGCCACGGTGACATTCTAAATCTAAGGTCATTGCTTATTGGCAGGTGTTGCTGGTAGATGTAAAGAAAGAGGAGATAGTCGAATACATCAAGAAGGTGCTGAAAAAACCAAAGATCGCTTCAAGAATGGAAACCTACATTAACACGTAGAGTGTAACATTAGAAGGTCAGCGATCATTCATGGAACTGGTGTAGTGGAAGTTGAAGTACAATCAAACGCCCACACGACGAATGACCTAGTCTCCTTAAATATTCCCAACCAGGGGACTCTGGTGCTCATTCTAGTTCACTCACATATCCCCCACCAGGGGACTCTGGTGCTTAGCCCAGTTGACTCACATATCTGCCACTAGAGGTCACTGATGGAGTATATCATGAATGGAGATCATATAGAGAATAAAGAAGAATATAGAGAATGATGAAGTTTTCTTGAGAGAGAGAGAGAGAGCGGCGAGAGCGAGAGAAATAGAGAAATAGAGAGAGCGGGGGGGGGGGGGGGAGCAAGAGAGAGAGAGAGCAGGGGAGAGCAAGAGAGAGAGAGAGAGAAAGAAAGAGAGAGACGATGGTGTCCAATTAATACATGTATCAGCACCAGGTGGCAGTAGTGGGCATCGCGACAAGCTGATGGATGCCCAAGCTCTCAGGCCGTTGGTGACGAAGATGACGATGACATTGATGGTGACGTTGACGATAACGTTGAAGACGACGTTGACGATGACGTTGACGACAACGTTGACGATGACGTTGACGGCAATCGTGCTTCTTATTCTAGGATCTCACTACAAGAAAGCGTAAGAAAGCATCCCAGGCGTCTGCGAGATAATTGATTCATATTTCGGCAAAGTCTTAATGTGCGGCATGACGATGTGTTATTAGCGCCATCTATGATGTGTAAAAGCGACCGTTTGTCACATTTACTCACTAATGTGGATATGCTAGGCACAAAATGTGCAAACATGCATATACGGACGTGTGCCTGTGTATGTAGCTATGTATGTATATATGTGTGTGTGTGTGCGTATGTGTGTGCATACGTACGTGCGTGTGCGTGCGTGCGTGTGTGTGCGTACGTGTGTGTGTGTGTGTGTGCACACATCTGTGCGTGTACGCGCGCATACGTGCCTGCGTGTGTTATCTTGTTAAGAATTGCCTGTTTCAAAGCTGAGCACCTCGATCAATAACCTAATCAATAAGCTCTTCATTATTTTTTAATGGTGAGCCATTATTTATCATAAGTTATCTGTAACTAATATCTCTAGTGTGTTTACCCACACAGCCCCACAAGTCATCTACGTTGTGACTGGGCTATGGGTCCCAGAATAGCTTTTCAGATCCCCTTTCTGTAGAGAAGTCCTGGAATATGTGCTCAGGCATAATAGTGTGTGATCTCCAGGAAAACCTTGATAAAGAGTACATCTATCTCTTGCTTGTGGCAGGAGTTTTGTTGATTATTTGGAGATTGGAAGGTACGAAGTACAAAGATTGTATCTGAATTGAATCTAGGAGTGCTCAAAAATGGACCTTCTAAATTTCTGAAAGAAATGTTTATACATATGTATACTAACCCTGTATAACCCAATTCCAACCACTCCTAATGTAATCCCCTACCCCTATTTATAACCCCCCTCACCCTCGCCCTGATCAATGCAATGATTCTGTCTTCCAGTTCCTATGACATCTGATATGTTTAAAGATCACAGATTTGTGTTCAAGCTTCTGTTAGTGCTGCCTCTATGGTTGCTGCTGCTGCTGTTGCTGCTGCTGCTGTTGCTGCTGTTGCTGCTGCTGCTGCTGTCTACTGCTGCTTGTGCTGCTAGCTACTTGCGAGCCTCTGCTGTACTGCGGCTTTGCTGCGTGCTGCTGCTGCTGCTGTTGCTGCTGCTGCTGCTGTTACTGCTGCTGGCTACTCACTACTTGCTGCTGACTGCCCCTATTACTGTTGGCTGCGGTGTTGATTGTTGCCTGCTCGCTGCCGGCATGTGCTGCTGCTGCTAGCTGCTGCTACGTTACTCGCTCTCGCTGCTGTTGTGTTGTGCTGCGCTGCTGCTGCTGTCTGCCATGGTTGGCTGATACTGTTTTTCAGAATTCTTTTACTTACATTGTATGTAGCAAGTTCCCTCTCCCTAAGTGATCAGCATGTGTGGCGTGCAGGGGCGGTAGCATGAACAATATTTATATGTGATGTTATGATAACGGGTCCGCCGCTGTACGTAAGGCATTTCCTGCGCCTTATTGTGCCAGCGCGCGTCCGCGCCCAAAGTATGTCAAACGATCATTCGCTTTTGGTTTACGCAACAAAATCATTACATAAACATATACATATAACAACCAATAAACTGATTCTATTGCCAATGTATAAATAATCCCGTGATACATTAAACAGAAATCATATACGGTAGGTGGCCACCTTCGCAAATACATCCTAACCTTGCCAGCATACACACTACAGCTTTCCGACGCCTTGTCCCGCTTTCCCGTCAGGCCTGTCGTCTTTTCGCTCTTTCCCTCGTACGCCATTTAATCTCGCAACGCTTGCTGCCGCTGTTGACACACGTGCAATCTCGCTCTGGAATAGTGTTTTTCAGCACGCACCTTCTGCCACAGCTAGACAGTGCGTGTACATCTCTCTCCGTTTTCGCACGCACCGCTGCCACGCTAGCAAACTGCGTGTATGTCACTCTCCGTTTCAGCACGCACTCTGCCACGCTAAGTACTGCGTGTATGTCACTCTCCGTTTTCAGCACGCACCGCTGCACGCTAGCACTTGCCGATGTATTCTCTCTCCGTTTTCAGCACCACCTCTGCCACGCTAAGTACTGCGCTGCTATGTCTCTCTCCGTTTTCAGCAACGCACCGTTTGCCAGGGCTAGCCAATAGCGTGCAAATCTCTTCCGTTTTCAAGCACGGCACCTCTGCCACGCTAGCACTGCGTTAAATCTTCTCTCCGTTTTCAGCACGCACCTCTGCCACTGCTAGCACTGCGTGTAAATCTCTCTCCGTTTTCAGCACGCACCGCTGCCACGCTAGTACTGCGTGTAAATCTCTCTCCGTTTTCGGCACGCACCTCTGCCACGCTAGTACTGCGTGTAAATCTCTCTCCGTTTTCAGCACGCACCGCTGCCACGCTAGTACTGCATGTATCTCTCTCTCCGTTTATTATTATCAGTGTACACTAAAGCTACTAGGGAGAGAATAATAGGTGTACATTGGAAGATATATATATATCTCTTTTATGCAGCAAAATGTTACACAATTTCTTTGATCTCGTGTCGCGGCCAGTATCTTTTGTAGTTGTTTGATGCACTTGCCCCATTATATGGGTGATGTTTTCGTTGTGCGAAGGATGACCAAGTAGTTTATGCCCAAATGTCAATGTTATATATATACACCGTGGCGTGACGTCACTTGCCGATATCTTGCCATAACAAACTGCGCTTATCATAACCGCTAGTCAAGTAGTTAGTAGCTAGTTTTATATATGACAATATCATGTCATTATTAACAACGATGTTTATTTATTCGTCTTAATAAATAATTGTATAGAGAACAGGAGAAAAGATCGTATATTTTAAGAAAAAAAAGTTGTGGAGAATGAATGACCTGCGAAACTGCGAGGGTTTATTCGTCAGGATATTACAGTAAAGCATGCACGGGTTAACCAGCTATTATGTTATTATTATTATAATTATTATTATTAATACCTTAGCAAAATGTATGGCTAGCTAATTATGCGTTTGAAATACATACTTTGTTATATTTTGCTCTACGCGATGTGTTTCATCCGCGTGTTTTTGACCAAGCAGACGAGCTTATATATGGTTTGATGTTCTGTTCTGGTGTCTCAGGCGGCAAATAACCTACCGCCATAGATAGTGTCACTAGGCCATACCAGGTGGCGTGGAAGACGCTCTCGCCTCACGCTTTAATCTGGTGGGGTAATATAGAGATGTGTGTGCGTGTGTTTTTGTGAGCGTGAGTGCCTGCGCGTGCGTGCGTTCGTGCGTGTGTGCGTGCGTGTGTGCGTGCGTGCGCGCGCGTGCGTGCGCGCGCGTGCGTGCGTATGCATGTGTGTGCGCGGTGCAGTGGCGCGCGTGCCGTGCGCGCTGCCTGTAGTGGTAAGCATGTGTGCGTGCGTTCGCGTGACGCGTCGGCGTTGCGTGTGTGTTCGTTGCGGCTGGTGGATATGCATCTGTGTGCGTCCATGCGTCGTGCTGTATGCATGTTCGTGCGTGCGTGACCACCGGCGTACCATTGCGTGCGTGCTTGCGTGTGGCTGTGTGTGTGTGCGTTAGTGCGTTCCATTCGGTCGATTGTATTCATGGTGCGTGCGTGAGTGGGCGTTGCGTGCGTGCGTGTGTGTTCGTGCAGCAGCATGATCCTGTGTGTTTTACCTGCTGGGAAATAGTTGATGAGGAAGAAGGAAGGGTTAGTGCTCACTGTGTTAGCACGACGTAGCCGCCTCTCTCTGCTTCGACCTGGCAAAGTTCTACGTGTATTGATGCGTCATAGGTATAAATACAATCAAACATTACTATATTACTGTTTACACACGTATTTCGTTGATTTTTGTCGTTTGCTATCATACTCTTTATTCGGCAGGATTTATAAAAACATACACACACACACACACACACACACACACACACACACACACACACACACACACACACACACACACAAACCATTACACAACAACGCGTTAATTTAAATAATTTAACCCTTTCACTGCTGGTCCGGCCCCGTGATAATTTTCCACTGAGATAGTGGCATTCATTGCATAAGCGGCGCTGATTGGCTGGCCGGTTTGGCGCGCGCGTGAGTTGTGAAGATTTATGAGCCCATTATCACAGTCAGGCTACAGTATCATACTATATACAGTATGTGCTATTGCTCTCGTTTTTATTCATGAAAATCCGTAATGAAACTTACATGTAAAGCTGGATAGTCAGCTATATTTCTTGCTGTACATTGAGTCGACAAAGCTTTTCCATGATGAGTTCACTGTTATAGAATTAACGGTAAAAGTATCAAATCGAGCCAATCGGCGCCTTTGATTTACCGCCAGGGCAACAGCCAATCAGCGCCGCTTATGCAAATTAAGCCACTATCTGAGTGGGGAAAAAATCACGCGTCCCGGCCGCGTGATTTTTTTTCCCACTCACATAGTGGCATTAATTTGCATAAGCGGCGCTGATTGGCTGGCGGTTTCGTGCGCGCCATCTATGAGTTGTGAAGATTTATGAGCCCATTAATTATCACAGTCAGTACTACAGTATCATACTATATACAGTATGTGCTATTGCTCTCGTTTTTATTCATGAAAATCCGTATTTTATACGATATATACGATAACCCTAACCCTAACCCTAACCCTAACCCTAACCTAACCCTAACCCTATTAAATTAATAAAATTTAATTTTTAATTGTTGTAAAAATTAATTGTTTGTTATTAAAATGTGTAAATAAATCATGTAAAATATTTGCGTTAATTGGGAAAAAAATGTTAAACAGATAAGATAGGAAAAAAATACAGAAAACAGGAAAATAATTAGAAAACGGATGGGATTCGATCCTGCGACCATTCATACTTGGCGCCAGCGTTGTAACCAATACGCTGCTCCGACATATTGAAATTAAAATTTTGGATGTGCTATGTATATCGCGAGAAAACAAGCTCAACCAATCAGGCGTCAGTACCGTCAGTACATGCCATTGCAACAGCCAATCAGCGCCACTTATGCAAATTAATGCCACTATCTGAGTGGGAATAAAAATCACGCGTCCCGGCCGCGAGATTTTTTTTCCCACGAGAGTTCCGGACCCCAGCCAATCAGCGCACTCCATTCACTCGACTACCTCGAAGCAACAATGCAAAATTTATACAACCTAACCCTAACCCTAAACCTAACCCTAACCCAACACTAACTATAATACAACCAGGTCCGTCTTATATACGCACCATATATTACAAAACACTATCTGTGGTGGGTCCGGAACTCTCGTGGGAAAAAAAATTTCGCGTCCCGGCCGTGGCCGTGACATCGTGCATGACTTGATATGCAGGAACCGGCTGACGCCGGTTTGTTGCCATAGTCACAACAGGGCTTTGTAGTAGGCTTAGATACAAATATCCGGATAGTTTATTGTTATTTAGAAGTTCCGGGGATATTTAGAAAATTCCGAGATATTTAGAAGAAAAAAATAATTTTCTGGAATTATCCAATCTCTTGCTTACCGTTTTACAGATCACCGTTCAATTTAAATCTCAAATCTTCGCATAAACGTTAAACTAACAAAGATATGTATGAAGATGTTTAGGAAATTTTACGAGATATTTAGGAAATTTTACGAGTTATTTAGAGCTTTTTGTCAGAATTTCCGGAAACATATTTAGGCAATTTTTCGAGATATTTGTATCTATGTCCAAATGATATATTCAAGAGTGAGATCTCCTAATATTACTGTGGAACAAACTTTTAAATTGGAATAAATTTTAATAATTCACACAGCGGAATTTGGTTGTTGACTAGTTGTTTGAAAATATATATTATTATGCCAAACCCCTCCCCCCCCAAAAAAAAAAATCAGAACACTTTTTTTGCAGAAATAGAAAGGACACCAAGTATAATTCCTGAAAAAAAAGTGGCTGATATATTAAGCGGTTTATTTGATATGATTTTTTTAAACGCATATATACATGAAATTTGCTTCGTTGCAAAAAAGTATTCAGCACACAGGGGCGAACATGTGCAAAAGTATTCAGCAGTGAAAGGGTGTCCGTCATCGCTCGCACAGCAGGTCCCACGCGTCGTTCACTCGTGTTCACTCTCATCGCTCGCACAGCAGGTCCCACGCGTCGTTCACCGGAATCTTCAGTGGCTTGACGTTCCGCACGTTCGTGTCGGGCGCCGCCATGCGTATCGGCTCCTGCATCTTCGCCCACAGCGTCGCCGAACTCACCTGAAGCAGTCCGGCGCTGCTCACCAGTCGGCGCCACCGTAGCCGCACCAGCAGCTCGTCGACGCACAGCTGTTTGAGGTAGAGCGCCGGAACGAACTCGACGAGCTTGTGGCGATCTTCGGCCAGCATGTCGTGGTTGTCGATGAAGGGGTGCGGGAGGCGACCGCCGCGCAGGCATTGAGACGTGTACACCAGCATGCCCATCACGATCTTGTAGATGCGTTTGTCGTCGTCGTCGCTGGAGGCCGAGGTGGAGGAGGGGGCGGAGGCGGAGGAGGAGGGGGCGGAGGCGGAGGAGGAGGCAGCGGCGGAGGAGGAGGAGGAGGGGGCAGCGGAGGGGACGGGGTCGAACGTCGGCGGCGTGTGTATCGTGTGCAGGAGCGCGAGCTTCAGCAGGTAGGAATCGATGAGTTTCTTCGGCTGGCAGCGCGTCGCGACGAACAGCCGCACGATGTCAATACTCTTACGATTCAGCTGTCTGACCTCATCGCTACCCTTAATGCCTTCGTCCTTCAACAGATGCTGATATGCACCCCTATCGTCCTGAATGCGTGGATCCAGCCACGCCTTCACGATGATCAGCGCTCGGCGATAGATCGCGGGAGACTCCAAGATGATCTTGCTCTCGGCATGCGCTGTGCAGACCGACCACCAGTCGTCGTGGGTTTCGTTTAACGGTTTCGGTACGACGTGATAGTGGAACTCGGGCGGGAATTGTGCATTGCTATCGTCTGGGGTGCCGCTCACGCGGATGGCTGGGGTAACGTCGACGGATAACAAAAGGTGTTTGTAGTGGTTGTCGCCGACGTAGACGAGGTTGAGCTGCGTGCAGACTTTGTTCCATTCGCACACTTGCTTGTAGGTGGAGATCTTGAGTTGGCTTTGCGGGTCGTCCGCGAGATGTTTCGAGAGCGCCTTGCAAAGAACGTTGACGAAGTCTTCTTTCATCGCGATCGAAACGTTCTGCTTGCGTTCGTAGTCGTACGCGAGAACGACTCCAGCCCGCGTAGTCTTCGTTATGCGTACTCGATCCTCGAACTCCTTCGCCTCGAATATGAAGTCGAATTCGTCCGGCAGACCGCATTTTGTGCGATTCGCCGCGCTGCCTACTAGGACGGGCACGAAGGTGGAGCCGGGTTGTATGACAGCCATCTCTTCACATACTCGCTCTACTAGTCTCTGCACGATGGACGCGATTTCCTCGCATTCCTGCATGTGGTGCAGCCTCCCCACGCCCGCCATCTCCCATATGTCCGTGAGCGAGGTGACGCCGCGCGTCGGCCGCTGTACGTGTGGCGCCACGTACGGCGCGGCGTCGCTGTAGCAATGCTCGGGCAGTCCCCTGAAGTACCGACAGGCTAGTAGCGTGCCGGCCGCCTCTCTCAGGTGTTGATTGAGCGTGCGGTGCGATGCGTGCGCGACAACCTTGCCGTATGCGGAGTCCACCTGCGCGGATATCGCGTCCGGGTTGATGTGCTCGAGTAGCGCTCTCATGCACTCGATGCGGCCCGCCGTCGCCGCAGCCGACAACGCCGTGTCGCCACCGTCGGCGGCGAGCGTCGCGTCGGCACCGGCTCGCAGCAGCAACGTCGCGATGTCGGCGTGCCCTTCCCGCGCTGCTAGAATCAGAGCGGTGCGTCCGTCGCTGTGGCGTTGGTTGACATCGACGTTGTCGTCGAGAAGTCGTCGGACGGCGGCCGCGTCCCCGCGCCACGCCGCTTCCATGAGCGCTGTCTGACCTTCGCTGTCCTTGACGACGACCTCGGCACCTGCCGCTCTCAGCAGCCGCACCGTCTCGACGTCGCCCCGCCACGCCGCTTCCATGAGCGACGTCAGTCCGTCGCTGTCGCGCACGTTGACGTCGGCACCGGAGCGCAGCAGCAGCCGCAGACTCGCCGCGTGTCCGCGCCACGCCGCCATCATGAGGGGCGTGAACCCGCTCGCGGAGCGTCGGTTCACGTCGGCTCCGGCGCTCAGCAGCAGCCGCATCGTCGCTGTGTGCCCGCGCTGCGTCGCCATCGTCAGCGCCCGCCCGCCGTCGCCGTTCGCTCGGTCTACGCGCGCTCCGGCATCGAGCAGCGTCCTCACCGTCTCCGCGTGTCCGCGGTGCGCCGCCTCCATCAGCGACGTGCTTCCGTCGCTGCTTCCCGCTAGCTCAACGTCGGCGCGCGCTTCTAGTAGCAGTCTCGCGTTGTCGGCGCGTCCGCAGATCGCTGCCCACATGAGCGGCGTGTCTCCGTCGGCGTCCGTGCGCGCGACGGCGTCGGCGTCGGCCCGCAGCAGCAGCCGCACGCTCTCGGTGCATCCCCGTCGCGCTGCCTTCGTCAGCGCCGTGTCGCCGTCGTCGGCTTCGTGCGAGGCGTCGGCGCCGGCGGCTAGCAGCATGGCGACGACGCGGGCGTGGCCGCCGCGCGCCGCGTACATCAACGCCGTGTCGCCGTCGCCGTCGACGTGGTGCGCGCTCGATCGCGCCGCCAGGAGGAGCTTGCGCATGCGGCGCCCCCACGTGGATGAGGAGTCACAGCCTCGGCTGTTGCAGACGTGGTTTATGTCGGCTCCCGCGCGCAGCAGCAGCGCCACTGTCTCCTCGTCGCCGCTGTGCGCCGCCTCCATGAGCGGCGTGCGTGCGTGCGTGCGTGCGTGTGCGCGAGTGCATGCGTGCGCGTGCGTGCCCCCGCCGTTCACGTCGGCGCCTGCTGCTAGCAGCAGCCGCACCGCGCGCGCATCCCCGCTCTGCGCAGCCTCCGTCAGCGCCGTCCGTCTGTCGCTATTGACGACGTTCACGTCGGCGTGCGCTTCCGTCAGCTGGCGCACGATCGCCGCGTGGCCCCCGCGCGCCGCCCACGTGACGGCGGTGTCGCCACCGCTGTCGACGCGACCGACGTCGGCGCCCGCGTCCAGCAGTGCGGTGACGATCGCCGTGCGGCCCCACATCGCAGCGACGGTGAGCGGCGTGCGACGTGCCGAGTTCGTCACGTCAGCGTCGGCGTCGTCGCGCGAGAGCAGCAGCGCCACCACGCCCGCGTGTCCCTCCTGTGCGGCGAGCGTCAGAGCCGTGGCGCCGTCGTCGGCAGAGCGGTTGACGTCGTCGGCGTCGGCGTCGAGAAGCGATCGCACGATGTCGTCGCTGCCGCCGTGCGAGGCGAGCATGAGCGCTGTGACGCCGCGCGCGTCCCCGCCGCACGCGGCCGCTCCTGCATCCAGCAGTAAGCGCGCCGTCCTCGCATGCCTCCCCGCGGCTGCTTCCATCACCGCCGTGCGACCGTCGGCGTCGGCGCGGTCCGGATCGACGCCCGTGGACGCCAGCAGGAGTCGCACCATCGGCGAGTCGCCCGCGCGCGCCGCCACCATGAGCGCGGTGCGGCCGCGCTCGTCGCCGTGGTTCACGTCCGCTGCTCCGCGTCCCAGCAGCAGCCGAGCGCATGCCTTGTGCCCCCACATGACGGCCTCGGCGAGCGCCGTCCTGCCGCGGGCGTCTGCCATGTTTGCGTCGGCGCCGGCGTCCAGGAGCAGCCGCGCGAGGCACGCGCGACCCTGCCAAGCCGCAGCCATCAGCGGCGTGCCGCCCTCGTCGTCCGCCATGTTCGAGTCTGCGCCCGCCCGCAGGAGCTGCTTGACCATGTTTGCGTCCTCGCGCCGCACGGCCGTAGCCAGCGGCGTGCGACCCGCGCAGTCCTTGCTGTTGACGTCAGCGCCTGCGTGCAGCAGCGGGGCGAGCAGTTCACCGTGTCCGTGCTCGGCCACCTCGGATAGCGGCGTCACGCCCTTCCCGCTGCGGTGGTTGACGCTCGCGCCCGCCCGCAGCAGCAGCGAGACCAGCTCCGCGTGTCCGCTGCACGCGGCTAGCAGCAGCGGCGTGCGTCCGCACTTGTTCGCGTGGTCAACGTCGGCGTCTGCTTCCAGCAGCAAGGTCGCGATTCCGGCGCGTCCCTCGCACGCCGCCTCCGTCAACGCCGTCTGACCTTTCTTCCCCGCGTCATTCACGTCGGCTCCTGCTCCCAGTAGTGCACTCAGGATCTCTGTGTGTCCCTCGCGCGCCGCCTCCATCAACGCCGTACGACCGTCTCTGTCTTTGAGGCTCGCGTCTGCACCGCGTTGCAACAGCAGTGTTACTATCTCCGCGTGTCCTCCGCAGCCTGCTTCTATCAGCGCAGTGTGGCCGCGATTCGTCTCAATGTGGACGTCGGCGCCGGAATCGAGCAGTAGGGTGACCGTAGCTAGGTGTCCGCGACGAGCAGCCTCTATGATAGCAGCGTTGCCATCCCTGGCTCTGTGGTTGACATCGGCGCCAGCGTGCACAAGCAAACGAACGATCTCCGCGTGTCCCTCGTGGGCGGCCATCATCAATGCCGTGACGTCGTCGTCGTCTCTGAGATCGACGTCGACGCCGGCGACACCTAGCAGCAGCGACGTCATGTCCGTGTTGCCGCGCCACGCCGTCACCATGAGCGGCGTGAGGTCGCTGCGGCTGTCGCGACGGTTGACGCTAGCGCCGGCTTCCAGCAGTAGCTTCGTGACGCGTAGCTTTGCACCGCGCCACGCCGCCCGCGACAGCGCCGCGTTGTCGCCGCTGCTTCCGACGTCGGCACCCGTCCGCAGCAGTGGCGTCGTCGTCTCACCGTGATCCTCGGCGGCTGCCGCCATGAGGGCCGTGGCAACATCGCTATCATCGTGGTTGACACTGTCCCGGGCGTCTATGAGTGCCGTTACCACTGCCACGTGTCCCTTGCCGGCTGCGGCGGCCAGGGCCGTGCGACCGTAGCCATCGGTGTAGTTGACACTGGCTGTGCCGGCATGCAGAAGGCGTTTCACTGTCTCCGTGCATCCCTCACTAGCTGCTACCATCAGCTGCCAGTCTGCAGTTCCATCGCCATTGCCGGGAGGTGATTCTGCAATGTAATGTTGATCGTGTTTTATTATTAATTTTGATCGTGTGAGCTGGGTTTACACTATCAAGTTTCTGTTGAAAAGTTGATCGAAAGTTTGATAGAACGTTGAAAAGTCTGATCAACTCGTCGACTTTTCGATAGTGTAAACCTATAGCTTAAGGCTGTGGCTATTCGTGTTGTGATTACTGCCTGCACCTCGGTAGCATGCACCTGATGAGTTGCCACGCCCCTGCCCGACAGGTAGCGCCACCATCTGCAGAGATCGCGTCACAAGCTGACGTCACGCTGAACGCTGAATGATGAGACGAGGCCACAGACAAGAAATCGGGTAAAATTTCATTATAAGAAACCGTCACCTGAGAGGGGTGAGGGGCGGCAGAGGTGAGGGAGGGGAGGGGTGGGGGAGGAGGAGGGGGCGGGCAGAGGGGAGGGATGGAGGGTGGGGGGAGGGTGGAGGGGGCGGG